ACCACACCCATCCCCTGCCACAGACTTACTGGCCAGACACCACTCTTGACGCTGCCCAGCTGCATTCCTCTATATTGGCTTGATATTGACTGATATAGCTGGTTAATAATTGGCTATTGATATCAACCAAAAAATCTTTATTGGTGCAATCCTATTTATTATTTTCAAGTGTTTATGTACTGTAGTCTATGGAAGTTTGCCATTAGTGGAAGCACACTGAGAAAATTGGCCTTGAGACTTGTAGAGTTGATCTGATATACACATTCACCATTGTCCAAATGCAACAAGAAAACTATTATGATAAATTAAGGAGCCTTGTGAACTGGCCTGACACCATGAGCAACTAATTTGAATATTGTACTTCAAGCAAACATATACGTTTAAACAGAACTAAAAGCACCAGTTCTGCAAATATGTGTGATCATAAAATTTAGTTGAAATCTCTTACTGTTTTTAAAACTTTTCTGTTTTACATGTTGTAAAGTTTTTCTATGAGCCTAAATTTGGGTGGAAATCATTTAAGGTGTATGTGTGCAGTAGGGAAATGGTGTACTCCTTTACCCTTGTTGCAGTGCAGCTTCTGGGCACAGATTTTGTTACCTTTTACCCTTATTTGTATGGAGCCTATTGTTGTTTGAGTGGATTTGTGGGCTGCAGCCTGTGTTAACCAAGTGTATTAACCCAAAATTGTCAACTGTTTTGGTCCTAATATAATATTCTTCTATGGGAAACTACCAGGTTTAAACAATTCAAAATCATTTTTTCTCTCAAAATAGAGCATCATTTTCCTCCAAAAGGCATGTACCCTCAAGAGCAAAGGAATACAAAAAGTGTGCATCTGGGTGGCAACAGCTGTTTCTCTTCACACTTTGATTGTAATTTCTTGCAATCAGGCAGGGCAATATGAGTCAGGTAAATTGATAGAGGTGTTTGAGGGTGGGTTTTTTCTTTCTTTTTTTTTAAAGAAAGAAATATGAAAGTTACTGTGTTCTATGCCAATGGTTTACTGAAGTGTCGATCTGAGCATCAGATACAGTGCTTGTGATAATTACTTTATCATTCTCTTTTTTTTTTTTTAACTCGTATTAATAATGTATGGTTTGGTATTCTTTTTTCTTCCAACGTATTTTTTCATAGCTTTTTTGCTGTTTTAGACTTCAAGATTGAAAACATTTGTTCCATAGAATGCATATGTATGTGTGTGTGTGCACGCACGCTTGTATCCTCATTGGAATATTAAGGGATAATTTTCTTTCTTTGTTTTGATTGTCACCTGTGGTTTTTGGTGATGCTTCTTTTTTCCATATATGGGCTATTCTATTACTTTTAATATCTTTCTCTTTTAAGTTACCCATACGCTTTGTCTTGTAGAGCTTCAAAGAATACCTCATCAAAACAGTTTTGAGGCCCACTTTAATTGTAATGTGGTTTATCTCCAGAAATTATGTAGTATTTGCTATTCACAGGTCTCCAGCATAGATCTTGTCTCCTAAGCAGTGAGTATGAATAGTTTTTGTGCATTAGGGGCATAAGTTGTTTATAAGTGGATAGTAGTTCGTTGAATAGACATATGCTTGAAAATTGTCATCCCCTGTTTTGTCAAGAACTTCCCAAGTATTTTGGATGCTATTGCTAACATACTTAAAAAAAAAAAAAAAAATTCTAAATGTTACTTTTTCTTGATATGTAAAAAAAAAAAAAAAAAAAAAATTAAAACCCTCAAAATTAAGTATAAATTCCAAATCCTACAAGGTAAAAATCTCTTGCCAAGCATAAGTGGGTTACTGTGTCTCCTGTAAAAGGGCCTAGTATTTTGTGAAGTATTGAAGAGAGATTTTTAAAATTCAAAAGTACTGCTATATTAGCTTAATGATGGATTTCTTATTTAACTGTTGAATTAGAAATGATTTATGCATGATTCATGGTAGCTTAAGCATGATTCATTTTAGCTTACACTTGTGGAAATGTATAAAAAATGGGTATACATAGATGTAGTCAAATAGGACCACATCTAAATTTGATTTAGTGTAAAATGAGTATGCTTTGATCTTGGCTATTATCTGCATTTTAAATATTCTGAGAATATTTCAAAAAGTTAGTAACAACCTAAATCTACAATCCCTTATGCATTTTACCTCTTTTGTCTAGTTTGCTTTCCCTGTTTCTTTTCTTCTGTCCAGCAAAAGGGGTAACGTGTAATTCTGAAGTAGTCTTTCACAGCTTCCCAGTGCTTGCGATGAGCATACAGCGTCATTCCAAAATAATAGTCATGTTTTACTAACCCCCCCCCCCCAAAAAAAAAAAAAAAGAAACCCAAAACCCAAATATGGTTTTATGACAAAAGGAAAGAAAATCATCATTTGAAAACTAAGTGGCACTTTGCTGTCAGTACCTTTTTATTGTAGTGATAGTCATTATGGACTTTATAATGGATTTGTCAAGTTGGTTCTTTAATGCCATCTCTTTATATTGTAATATGCTTCACATAAATGCATGTAAGCCTCTGAACTTAGAGCACTATGAGTTAATATGCTATAGGTCTCAGAAGAGATGGGCAGTGATACTGGAAGGATCCTGAGACCATAATAAATAAGTCTTGACTCTCTTGCATCTAAGACCCATCTTTAGGTATTATAAAGTATTTCAGTCATAGACTCGTAGATGCTAGGGAGGGACCTCTTGAGAACATCAGGTCCAGCCTGCCTCCCCCCTGTGCTCCCTGCTGTGCTTGGGTAGGAAAGGCTGCTTGGGTTAGATGACCCCAGCAAGGCGAGTATCC